TCGCCCTCGAATATCAGATAGTGCAATTATAAACGACCTTTCAACTTTCTCGCGCAATTTTGTCATGAGCTGCCGATTGCGATGCCCTCGTTTGGCGGTTAAGTAAAGTTTGAAGCAGACACGTCTAGAAATACAGGATAATTACACCATCGTAAATTGCAATTCGAATTTTACCTGAAATATTCCGTCATCTTCCTATCCTCAACACCAGCGAGGTGAAAACGAAACCTGAAACGGTCCTAATTCCTTTCAAAAATACTTCGATCTCGAATTTTCTCACCAGAACTGTATCAAAGATGCGGCAGTATTGCGTAGCTTATTTTCACATTCCTTTTTGCTGTCTTCTTCCATCATCAATGTTAATCCTCAAAGTTATCAAACTCATTGTTATCACGAATGACAGCGACAACGAACCTACTGAAATCTGAGTCGAGGCAGTAACGAATGTACAGTAAGCTGCGTAGCCAAAAAGGCAAACAATGACTCTTGTAATCCCCCTGGTGGGAACGATATCGCCATATCTAAGGTAGCAGAATGAGATCACTTACTTCTACAAGTCTTCACTTTTCAACATTAGCAGTTTTAGAAAACAGTTTTCTGGAAATATTCCGCTTATCTCTAGCCTCCGAATATTCTGAATGATGTCAGCTAACATGCTCCAAGCAGGCATTATTGCGCGCCGGACACAGCATCCCTCCAACTCACTCAGAAAATAAAACTCTTATAGCGCAAGTGTTATTTTTTGTTCTGCTCTATTCTTGATTTCTTGATTCTTTTCTAGTCTTTGAGCACCCCATAGAAGACGGGATAATTTTTGCAAAGCCAAGGGGAACTTTGTTTCCGAAAATTTGGAGCCACCTCGTGCCGAGCCCTGGCCTTGGGGTAAACCAAATGATTTTTGGAGTAATTAAACGCAATTTGTGGAGCCTCGCACCCAAGCAAAGTTAATTCGAATTTTCAGAAGATTCAGATGAATATTCTAATCGTTATTCTTATACCTACCCTACAGTTTCTATAGAGATGAGAGTAAACCACCATGTGTGAGCAAGCGACGGGAATGCTTCAGATCCTAAAGCAGTTCAGAACGTGGAGGTGATAACACATAAATAAGTAAGTTGTATTTTCTTACTAGTGATTTCCGATGTGTTTTGTGGCATTTGTAATATAAATCCTTCATTTTCACTAATATAGACGAGGTTGACCATAGTCAGACAAACCATGAAAGTAATGTTATATGCAGCCAACAGCTCCCATCTGGAAATGAGAGTAGGTCATAGATATAAAAAAGCCCTTATCTTCTGTAGAAAGAGATGTTTCCAACGTTTTTGTCAAAAGTGATTTACTAGGATAAAAATCAAAAGGGTTTTGAATTTCAAAGATCTTCAACTTGCAACTCAAAATCGACATACTTAGGAAAAAACAATCAAACTCGAGATTCGCAAAAATACATAATGCATCAAAAAAGAAGCTTACTTGCCCAGAACTATCATATTCTTAAAAAGTCGAAATGTTGTCATCTGTCTGTCAATGTCGAACAGTCGAAGTATCTACAAAAATAGTAGATCAATAAGCCTTCAATTAGCAAATATGTAACAATAATCCTACCTGAATCAACCGTAAATAATCTAGCGTATTATCAGTAATATAAGTCTTTTCCAGATAAACCATTATTATAGTGACAGTTATTATGATTACATCCACAATACAAACTAGCCGTGTTAGGTATTTTAAATGACCTAAAATGCTTCAGCAAAAACTCGGTGAGACTGCGTTCAGAATTGCCTGTGCCAGCGCTGTTC